TCTGCTCCCGTAAAGATTCGCAGCCTCAGAAACCCTGTGCAGGGTCACTATGAGTCAGAACCGACTCCATGGTACTTAACAACAACAACAAAAGCGAATGTTCTCCAATGTAAAATAACACATAATTCACAATAAAAACTTTAAAACACAAAAAAATGAAATGGAACACATAAACATCGATACCTTGGCATTAGTGAGCTGAAATAAACTGGTACTGGCCACTTTGAATCTGACAACTATGTGGTTTACTATGCTGGGAATGACAAATTGAAGAGGAATGGTGTTGCATTCATCATCAAAAAGTACATAACCAGATCAGTCATGAGGTACCATGCTTTCTGTGATAGGATAATATCCATGAGACTACAGGGAAGCCCAGTTAATACCACTATTATTCAAATTTATGCACCAACCACTAAAGCCAGTGAGGATGAAATAGAAGAATTCTACCAACTTCTTCAATCTGAAATTGATCAGAAATGCAATCAAGATGTATTGATCATGGACTGACATGTTGATGGCAGCGGCGGCAACTCCTAAAATTTAACTGATTCCAAACAGTGAAAACCAACACAATCAACGAACAACAAATTCTTTATCACCTAAATTCACTGGACACTGCTGCACGACAAATAGGAATACCAATGACACCAAAGCTAGACAGACCGGAAATATATGTGGAGAGGATTGTGGGATTTTGGAGGACTTCAGTTTCCCATTGCCAGCCAAGGTGATTTTTTCTCAGTGGAGAATTGTCAGTATTTCTCAAAGCCAGATTCCACAGGATCAAAAATCACCAGCATCTAAGAAAAAAAATCTAACGATGTGCTGTGTAAGAAGACTGAAATAAAGAAAGCTTGCAGAGGGATTTTAACTCCAAAGATGGAAGACACATCTTCCAGGGCAGAATCCACTTTGCAAAGATCATCCTTTGATGTTCATCCTGAAAGTAACAAGCGACAATCTAAGAGCACTTCAGATGCAGTGATTCTCAGTGATGATATGGAAAGCAGTCAGGATGGAGACAGTGATGAAGATGCCAGCCCAGTCCTGGATGACTTCTCAGAATTGTCACCATATGAAAGGAAGAGACTAAAAAACATATCAGAAAATGCAAATTTTTTGCTTCTCTTCAGTTGTCTGAGTCAGCTGCAAGACTCCGTGAAATGGTAAAGAAGAGACAACCTGCTGAATCCAAGAGAAAGAAACCTAAGAAGAGAGAAAATGAGATTGGCTGTAGAAGGTCAATGTGGTTACTAAAAGTAGACCCTTTTGGAGTCCCATTACCAGCAGATCCAATCCAGCCAGCGTTAGAAGCGGATGAAAATCCTTTGTTACCTCCTGGGCCTTTAGAAATGATTCCTGAAAATCAAGATGATGACAATGATGATGACAATGAACTGTTTAAAGGATTTATACAGACATGGGCAGAAATGAGCAAGACAAGTAGTAAGACCACTAAGAAGGAATCATCTAGCCTTGAAAGCTACAAAGCCAGTTTAAGTGGCATGGTCATCAATGAAGATACTGTTTGTAAAATTACCAGAAATTCAGTGTTCTCTGTGGCTTTCCACCCATCAGAAACTAGAATTTTGGTGGCAGCTGGCAGTAAATCTGGTCAAGTTGAACTTTGGAATTTGACCCAGCAACCTAACGAATATGGGGTGTATGTTTTTCAACCCCATAGTCAGCAAGTTAGGTGCGGCTGACCCAAGCTATGATATTTTCAGTAACTTCATATGCATGCGAAAGCTGGACAGTGAATAAGGAAGACTGTAGAAGAATTGATACATTTGAGTAATGGTGTTGGAGAATTTTGGTGCCATGGGCTACCAAAAGAACCAACAGCTCTGTGTTGGAAGAAGTGCAGCCAGAGTCCTCCTTGGAGGCCAAGATGGCCAGACTTAGTCTCTCATACTTCAGACATATTGGTAGGAGGGACCAGTCACTAGAGAAGGCTATCATGTTTGGTAAGGTCGAGGGTCAGAGAAAAAGAAGAAGATCCCAGTGAGATGGATTGGCAAAATGTCAGTATCAGTGGGCTCAAGCGTGGCAACAATTGTGAGACTGGCCCAGAACTGGGCAGTGTTTTGTTGTGTTGTACATAGGGTCGCTATGAGTCTGTATTGACTCAATGGCACCTAAGAAGAACAACAACATATTTGTACTCCCTGGAGTCCTGGAGTGGTGCTGCAGGATAATGCGCCGTACTGCAAGGTCAGTTTGAGCCACAAGGTCAGCAGCTCAAACCCACCAGCTACTCCTCAGAAACCCTATGCAGGTTCGCTATGAGTCTAAACCAACTTAACAGCACTTAACAACAACAACATGTATTTCCTAGTGGCTGCCTGATTTACTCACTCAACTACATGAAGGTTTGTTGAGCAGTACACCAGGCATCTTGTTAGGAGCTAGGGATACAGGTCCTAACGGACCTTACAAGATCAGTCGGAGGAACAGACCAACAAAGAAGTCCAAGGCAATATTATAAATCAGTCTGATCATCATGTGGAGTAAAATGGGAACTCAGGAAGGAGTGATCAGTTGTACCTATACTACATCCAATAGTAATCCTATCTCTTACATATTAGAATGTACCATTATATGTACCAGGCACTGCTTTACATAATTTATGGGTGTATTTTTTTTTTTTCATTTCAGTTTTGTAACAACCTTTCATAGAGTACAGTATTATCATGCTCGTTTTGTAGACAAGGAAACCGGGACTCAGAGAGATAAAGTGATTTGCCCAGGAGCACATAAGTGACAGTCAGGATTCAAACCTAGATGTGTCTGATTCCAGAGCCCAAGTCCTCCAACCACAATAGTACACCATCCACTCACCTTCCTCAGTAGCTTCCAGTCCGCCCAGTTCTAACCATCCTTCTCACGACTGGCATCTCCGTTTTTGGGGCTTTCTCATGAGACCCTCTACCGTTCTCTGGTTTGCTCTGTTCAGAATCCTTCAGGCTCCAGAGCTCTAAGAATAAAGCCCAAATTCCTAGCTCTGCCCTTTGTTTATATCTCCAGCATTCACTTTGCCTCTGTCCTCTGCACTCTGTTTTGGTTTCCTGACTACCATTGTCTTCTTGCTTGCTTCTGGGCTTAGTCGCCTGTGTTTCCCTCTATCCACCCACCCTACATATATACATGACCTGACAAATCTCTTTTGGCCCTTCATGTCTCAGCTGGCAGTTCTCAGACTTGCTCCCCTCAGATAGATGCCTTCCTCTATAACTGTCTTCAGTTAACCTGTCCTTGTCATCTGCTGACTGACGGCTCCCATTGAAATCAGCTGCCCACTAGCAGTCTTTTTTACATATTCCTGCCTTTGTTCTTTCTCTGGATTCTAAGTGTCTGAGATAAGAAACTCCTAATCTTATTTCAAGGAGCTCTGGTAGCGTAGTGGTTATGAATCGGGCTGCTAACCTCAAGGTCGACAGTTAAAAACTACCAGCTGTTCCATGGGAGAAAGTTGAGGCTTTCTGTTCCCGTAAAGATTTATAGCCTCGGAAACCCTGTGCAGGGTCACTATGAGTCGGAACCGACTCCACGGTACTTAACAACAACAATTTTATTTACCATGGTTTCATAGAGCTGTTGCCACAGTATAACTGGCAAATACTTGTTGAATATATGAATGAAAATGAAAAAACCTGGATTCAGATCTCAGCTCTGCTGCTTACTAGTCATGTGACCTTATAAATTCAACTCTTGTAAATCCCTTTTTTCTCAACAACAAAGTGGATGCAATAATAATAATAATTACAGTGAGCACATAGGGCTTTGAAACTATCAAGTAAAGATGTAACTTTCCTGTCTTCTCTCTTTGAAGTTTGCATAGCATTCCCTGGCACTCTGATCATGGGAAAAGAGATCACACTGGCTGGCTTCTCCTGCCACATGCATAGCCCTTCTTTCTCATCCCTGTTGTTGCTAAGTGCCATTGAGTAGGTTCCGACACATAGCAACCCTGTCTAGGGTTTCTGAGGAGCTGCTGGTAAGTTTGAACCACGGACTTAGCAATTCAGACAGACTTTGCGGTCCAGTGCATTATCCTGCAGTGCCACACCAGGACTCCATTCTCATCCTTAGCAGAAGTCATCTCCTTGGAATAGTCTTTATAAACTGTGTTGTTTTCCTTTTCCAGCCTGATCGAATTCCCACCACCCAGTTCCCCAGTCCCTTCCTTCGAACAGGTGGTGCCAACTACTAGCCACAGCCAGCTGACCCTGCCCCAGGTGTTTGCCATTGCGGCCTATTCAAAGGGATTTGCCTGCTCTGCTGGACAAGGGAGAGTTCTGCTGTTTGAGAAGATAGAAGACAAGGATTTTTACCGTGAGAGCAGGGAAATCCAGGTAAGAAGAGAGACCATACACCCAGCCGGGTTCCTGTTGCAACTTCCTCTCCACCCAAAATGCTCTGACAGGAGGCTGATGGGGAGCAGAAAGGCTGTAGTGCTGAGCACAGCTCAGACTTGAGCTGTCCTTTTGTAATAAGCTGGAGAGAACTGAGGTTTCGATTTAGGAAGAACTGGATTTGAATCCTGGGAGAGAACTTTAGCAAATTCCTTAGTGTTCCCATTGGTTTTATAGATTTATTCATTGCCATGGAATCCATTCCAACTCATGGCGACCCCAGTTGGTTGCAGAGTAGAACTGCACTCCAGCGGATTTCTCTAATTGGGACTTTATGCAATAAATCAGCAGTCCTTGCTTTCATGCCTCTGGATGCATATGGATCACCAGCCTTTTACTTAAAACTTCAGCTCTTAATTGTTAGTGCTACTCAGGGAATCCTTGTTTGTTAGCAAGCAAGGTTCTATCATCAGCATATCGCAGGTCGTTAATGAGTCTTCCTCCAATCCTGATGACACGTTTTTCTTCATAGAACCCAGCTTCTGAGATTACTTGCTCAGCATACAGGTTGAATAAGTATGGTGAAAGAATACACACCTTGTTGCACACCTTTTTAAATTTTAAACCATTCAGTGTTCCCATGTTCTCTTCGAACAACTGCTTCTTGGTGCAAGTATGGATTCCTCATGAGCACAATTCAGTGTTCAGGAATACTCATCCTTCGCAGCGTTGTCCATAGCTTGTCATGATCCACACAATTGAAAGCTTTTGCGAAGTCAATAAGCACAGGTAAACATCTTTCTGATAGTCTCTGCCTTCAGCCAGGCTCCATCAGACATCAGCAATGATATCCCTCGTTCCACGGCCTCTTCTGAATCTAGCTTGAACCTGTGGAAGTTCTATCAATGTATGATTGTAGCCATTTCTGTATTACCTTTAGCAAAACTTTACTCATACGGGATATCAAAGAGATTGTCCGATGATTTCCACATTCCGTTGGATCACCTCTCTTTGGAATGGGCACAAATATGGATCTCTTCCAATCAGTTGCCCAGTTAGTTGTCTTCCAAATTTCTTGACAGAGATGAGTGAGTGCCTCCTGTGCCGCCTGACTTTCTTGAAAGATTTCAGTTTTTATTAAATCAGTTCCTGGCGCCTTGTTCTTTGCCAATTCCTTCAGTACATCTTGGACTTCCTCCTTCAGTATCATTGGCTCTTGATCATATGCTACCTCTTAAAATGGTTGAACATTAACCATTTCCTTTTGGTACAGTGACTCT